ATGCCAGGCGAGCGCGCTACCGCTTGAGCCACATCCCCAGCCCGCATTCTACTGTTTTTTTTGTTTGTTTGTTCTTTTGTTTTTTAAGAGAAAGGGGGGGAGAGAGAGGGAGAGAGAGAGAAAGAGAGAATTTTTTAATGTTTATTTTTCATTTCTGGGCGGATACAACATCTTTTTGTTTTTTGTATGTGGTGCTGAGGAATGAACCCAGGCCGCAAGCATGCCAGGCCAGCACGCTACCGCTTGAGCCACATCCCCAGCCCCCAGCATTCCACTGTTATTAAGCATAATCTCTGTACCCTTTTATATTCTTCATGCACATTTTATTCTTATACCCTATTTAAGCCTGTGACAACTTAACTAACTAGGTAAGAATACAATGAAATAGCCAAAGAATAAATAATGATGGGGTATACAAAACTTCGGTAGGGAAAACTGTTCTCTAAAAATTTTAATTTTCGCAGTGTTTCCTGATTTTACTCTTACTTTATAGTTTGGAGTGGTCAGCTATCATTGTGGATGAGGCTCATAGAATCAAGAATCCAAAGGCGAGAGTAACAGAAGTTATGAAAGCGCTCAAGTGTAATGTTCGCATTGGCCTCACTGGAACCATTCTTCAGAACAACATGAAGGAACTGTGGTGTGTTATGGACTGGTGAGTGAAAAAACTGTTTAGGAAAAACAATTATTGAGTACTTCTTTCCCTTAACGCTCTCTTGTTAGCTAATTGTTAGTTTTAGGAAACAAAAACCAAAAGATTAGTCATTTAACTGCAGAATTATTTGATCCTAAACATGGTGTATAGAGAATCCTATGCAAACCTACCTTTACATGTTATTCTTGGCATTGTAAGTATAGCTAACTTACCAATGCCGTCATTATCTTTTTATAAACTGAAACCGTTCTCAAAGAAGAACACTTTTTTCTTGGCTTTTGTTTTTGTTGTCTTATAAACAAGTGGATGAAGATATTTCTTAGATACAAAAATAAGTGAATGTTTTTCTTTTTA